TCCCTCACTTTCTTCATTTTCCTTTTCAGCCAAGCAATTGCCTTCAAGTAGCCTCTGAACTCTTTCTTCCCTCTTTCTACCCCTCTCTCCTTCTTCATTTCCTTCTTCTTCCCTTCCTTCCTTTTCCTTTTCAGCCAAGCAGTGGACCTCAAGTAGCCTCTGAGCACTTTCTTTCCTCCTTCTATCACTCTCTCCTTCTTTACTTCCTTCTGCTCATCCCTCACTTTCCTCCTTTTCCTTTTCAGCCAAGCCTCTCAGCTCTTTCTTTCCTCCTTCCATCCCTCTCTCCTTCTTTACTTCCTTCTTCCCTTCCCTCACTTCCTTTTCCTTTTCAGCCACGCAATGGACTTCAAGTAGCCTGTGAGCTCTTTCTTCCCTCTTTCCATCTCTCCCTCCTTCTTTATTTCCATCTTGTTCCCTTCCTTCCTTTTCCTTTTCAGCCAAGCAATGGACTTCAAGTAGCCTGTGAGCTCTTTCTTCCCTCTTTCCACCCCTCTCTCCTTCTTTATTTCTGTCTTCTTCTCTTCCCTCACTCCCTTTTCCTTTTCAGCCAAGGAAGGAAAGGATGGAAGGAGAAAGAGGGAGAGAGGGAGGAAGGGAGGTTGGGAGGAAAGAGAGACGCAAGAACGGAAGGAGACAGGGAGGAAAGGAAGGATGAAAGGGTGGAAGGGAAAGAAGAAGGAAAGAGAGAAGGAAGGAAGGACAAAAGGGAGGAAGGGAAGGATGGAAGGAGAAAGAGGGAAGAAGGGAGGAAAGAGGGAAGGAAGGAAAGACAAAAGGGAAGGAAGGACAAAAGTGTATATGGAAAGGATGAAAAGAAGGGAAGAAGGCCAGAAAGAGAAAAGGAAGGAAGGATGACAGGGTGGAAGGGAAGGATGGAAGGTGAAAGAGGGAGATAGTGAGGAAGGAAGGGAGGAAAGAGAGACGGAAGGAAGAACGGAAGGAGAAAGGGAGAGAAGAGGGAAGGGAGGATGAAAGGGTGGAAGGGAAGGAAGGATGGGAGGAGGAAGAGGGAGGTACGGAAGGAGGTTTATTCCAACTCTAAGATTCTATTATTCTACTAGCTGTACCCACCACGCGTTGCTGTGGCCAACCTTTTCTTCCTCTTTCTCTCCTTCTTTCCTTCCTACCTTCGCTCCCTCTTTCCTTCCTTTCCTTATTTCTTTCCTTCTCTCCTTATTGCCTTGACTACCTTTCTTTCCTTCCCCCCTTTTCTTTTCCTTCCTCTTTCTCTCCTTTCTTCCTTCTCTACCTTTCCTTCCTTAGTTCTTTGTCTCCATCCTTCCTTCTCTCTTGCCTTCTTTCCTTCCCTCCCTCTTTTTTATGCTTCTTTCCCTTCCTCCCTCTCGCTTTCTTTCCTTCCTTCTGTCCTTCTCTCCTTCCTTCCTTTTCTCTACCTCTTTATTTCCTTCCTCCTTTTCCTTTTCCTTCAGCTTTCTCTCCTTTCTTCCTTCTCTACCTCTTTCCTTCCTTTGCTTTTTGCTTCATTCCTTCTCTCTTTCCTTCCCTCCCTCTTTTTCTGCTTCTTTCTTTCCTTTCCTTTTTTTCTGTCCTTCTCTTTCCTTCCTTCTCTATCTATTTCTTTCCTTCCCCCTTTTTGTTTTCTTTCTCTTTCTCTCCTTTCTTCTCTACTTCTTTCCTTCCTTCCTTCCTTCTTTGCTTCCATGCTTCCTCCTCTCTTTCCTTCTTTCTTTCCCTCCCTCTTTCTTTCCTTTTTTTCTCTTTCTTTCTTTCTTTCTTCCGTTCCTTCCCTCCCTTTTTTCCTGTATTGTCATTTAGCTTTTCATCATTTAGCTTTTGGGGTTTTTTTAAGTCCTTTCCACTGTTTTTTTGGAGGGGTTTATGAGTGATGGTCACTCGTTGGTCTGTTAGGGGTGTAGTGTCCAAATTTCATGTCAATTCTTCCAGTGGTTTTTGAGTTATGTTAATCCCACAAACGAACATTACATTTTTATTTATATAGATGAGTGTCAAGCGGTAATTTGTCACATACACTCTTTGCCAAAAGCACACGATCAGTCCTGCCTTGAGCTTATTTGCATTGCCAGTGAGCACAACGACAGAGCGACAGAGGAAAGCAGCATATCTGAGCATGTGCAGAGTTCATTAAGAAACACAAGCAGCATACATCTTCCTGGGATTGGAAGAAAGGTGAGAGTGCTCTCCAAATATCTCTCCACTTCCCGTAAGCTTAACTCTTAATACTGTTGTCGTATTTAACATGCATATTAAAGTACAGTACATATATTTTATGCATTTATGGCATACTGAACTATTTTTCTCCCCCTATTCTTTGCATTTTCTAGTCTATGCGCGTCGGCTGCAATTTTCCTCAGCGGCCACAAATCTCCCAAAACATCCCCATTTAATTATTGATGCTAAACTCACAAATACAACTCATGAAAGCGAAATCCGCACACGTCGAGGGCCGGCGGCAAACGTAAACGTTCCCCAACAGGTATGGGTGTAAAGTGAGCACGAGAAGGAGATGCGAGGTTTTATGTGACCCAAGCTTTCAAAGATTGCAATTCACTTCATCAGATGGATCAAGAGAACGGGAATCCATAAAAGCCTCTGCTAAATAAATTGTGTCTTTAACCTGCCATGAGACGCAGATTAAGATTGCCCTCCAAGTGGCAAGAAGGAAGATGCATTTGCGCAACTCTTGCTATTCCAGCAATGCTCTTCCCAGACCTTGGAGTGAACAGAGACTCCATATAACTATATTATATTGATGTGTTGCTCTGAGTACTGGTCCAACTGCAGGGGAGTAAGGAACCAATCGTCTACATAAAGGGAGGGTAAGATGCTGCTGTAGACCTTTCCCGGCACATGCAAACCCATCCAGAAGAGCCTTGATTTGCATCCAGTAAGAGAAAGTGTCAGGAGAAAATGCTTCTGGGCTGTCTGGCCATGTTCCAGAAGCATTCTCTCCTGACGCTTTGCCCACATCTATGGCAGACATCCTCAGAGGTTGCGAGGTCTGCGAGGTAACAAAGGAATCCTCCAGTCAGGAAGCAGCCAGGCTTTGAAGACGCAAGGCCATTCAATGCTAATCGAGGTGGCCAAGGGCAACATTCACACTTGCCTCAAGCCACCCTGATTAACACAGAATGTCATTGCAGCTTCAAAGCCTGGCTGCTTCCTTTCTGGGGGAATCCATTGTTGGGAGGTGTTAGCTGGCCCTGATTGTTTCTTGTCTGGAATTCCCGTTTTCTGAGTACTGTTTTTTATTTACTGTCCTGATTTTAGAGTTTCTTTTAATACTGTCACGCAGGCCAGTCTGTGGGAGAAGGCCTCACAATGTGAGGTAGGCCTCACAGTGTGAGGTAGACCTTAGTTTGTGAGAGAAGGCGTCACAGTGTGAGGTAGGCCTTAGTCTGTGAGAGAAGACCTCACAGTGTGAGGTAGACCTTTGTCTGTGAGAGAAGGCCTCACAGTGTGAGGCAGGCCCTTGTGAGAGAAGGCCTCACAGTGTGAGGTAGACCTTAATCTGTGAGAGAAGGCCTCACAATGTGAGGTAGGCCTTAGTCTGTGAAAGAAGGCATCACAGTGTGAGGTAGGCCTTAGTCTGTGAGAGAAGGCCTCACAATGTGAGGTAGGCCTCAGTCTGTGAGAGAAGGCCACAATGTGAGGTAGACCTTAGTCTGTGAGAGAAGGCGTCACAGTGTGAGGTAGACCTTAATCTGTGAGAGAAGGCCTCACAGTGTGAGGCAGGCCTTTGTGAGAGAAGGCCTCACAGTGTGAGGTAGGCCTTAGTCTGTGAGAGAAGGCCTCACAGTGTGAGGTAGGCCTCAGTCTGTGAGAGAAGGCCTCAGTGTGAGGTAGGCCTTAGTCTGTGAGAGAAGGCCTCACAATGTGAGGTAGGCCTTAGTCTGTGAGAGAAGGCGTCACAGTGTAAGGTAGGCCTTAGTCTGTGAGAGAAGACCTCACAGTGTGAAGTAGACCTTTGTCTGTGAGAGAAGGCCTCACAGTGTGAGGCAGGCTCTTGTGAGAGAAGGCCTCACAGTGTGAGGTAGACCTTAATCTGTGAGAGAAGGCCTCACAGTGTGAGGTAGGCCTTAGTCTGTGAGAGAAGACCTCACAGTGTGAGGTAGACCTTTGTCTGTGAGAGAAGGCCTCACAGTGTGAGGCAGGCTCTTGTGAGAGAAGGCCTCACAGTGTGAGGTAGGCCTTAGTCTGTGAAAGAAGGCATCACAGTGTGAGGTAGGCCTTAGTCTGTGTGAGAAGGCCTCACAGTGTGAGGTAGACCTTAATCTGTGAGAGAAGGCATCACAGTGTGAGATAGGCCTTAGTCTGTGAGATAAGGCCTCACAATGTGAGGTAACCCTTAGTCTGTGAGAGAAGGCCTCACAGTGTGAGGTAGGCCTTAGTCTGTGAGAGAAGGCCTCACAGTGTGAGGTAGGCCTTAGTCTGTGAGAGAAGGCCTCACAGTGTGAGGTAGGCCTTAGTCTGTGAGAGAAGGCCTCACAGTGTGAGGTAGGCCTTAGACTGTGAAAGAAGGCCTCACAGTGTGAGGCAGGCCTTTGTGAGAGAAGGCCTCAAAGTGTGAGGTAGGCCTTAGTCTGTGAAAGAAGGCCTCACAGTGTGAGATTGGCCTCAGTCTGTGAGAGAAGGCCTCAGTGTAAGGCAGGCCTTTGTGAGAGAAGGCCTCACAGTGTGAGGTAGGCCTTAGTCTTTGAGAAGGCCTCAGAGTATGAGAAGATCTGGTGTGAGAGAAAGCCCCAGGGTGAAGGTCTAGTGGGTAAATCTACTGTGTAACTTTGGTGTGAGAGGAGGCTCTGTGAGAGCGAAGCATGGAAAAGAAGCCTAGCGTGGAAGCAAAGAAGGAAGTATAAAGAACTTTATGTCATGGAAACTTTGTTCTTGCAAACAGTGCAACTATATTTTTTTACGACAAAGAAAAGCCTCCTATGTAAGAGATAACATTGGATCCCACTCCCTCCCTCTTTCCACAGGTATCCCCCACTTCCCGCTTTTCCCTTTGCCTTTGCCCTTACTATGTGTAGCTGCAAGTAGTCGCCGAGCCCGGAAGCACTGTCCACCCGCACCAGAATGGCGTTCTTCTGATGCGTGCTGAAGCCCACGGCCAGGCGGTCGGCCCGCGTGCTCGGTCGGTCATTGGGGGGCCATGTGTACGTGATCAGCGCCCCGCCTTTCCCGAAAATGTACGTGGTGCCAGCTGCGGAGAGAAAAAGAGAAAGAGGCGAAACGGTTAGATGGCATGGAACAGGAAGTGCCCAAACACATTCCCATCATCAAAACCTTTCACTGATGCCTACATTGAGATTATTGTCCCACACCACTGTCCATAGGAGTTTAGTGGCATCTTCTAGGGAGGTTTTTAAGCAGAGGCTGGATGTCCATCTGTCGGGAGGGCTCTGATGGTGCCTTCCTGCCTCGTAGGAGGGGAGTGAAGTCTCTAGGATTCTATGAATCCACAAACTTTCTATAGATGGATCCCCAAATGCCCAAACGCAAATCAAGGAACAGATTCCCTCGCTACTTCACGGTTCGCTTTTCGCGGACTCGCTATTTCGCGGGTTTTTGCCTCCTGGCAACGATGGAGTGTGGAAGGAGGTTTCAACCTCCCCCTCGGGAGAGAGGAAGCCAATCATAAAAAAGAGAGAGAGGATATACAAAGCAGTATGTAAATCTTGGCCTTATAGCCTCTTCCTTATACGAGGGTTGACTGAAAAGTAATGCCTCCACTTTCGTTACTTGGGTTTGGATGGGAATATTTTAATAAATCAAACGCAGAAATAATCCTTAGAATGTGCTCTTTAACTCCCACTATTCACTTTTCCACATAATCACCAGACAATTGGATACATTTCTGCCAATGATGAACAAGTTTTCCTGAAGCCGTCACAGAAGAAGTCGACACTCTGTTTCCGCAACTAGCGTCTCACAGTCCTCTCATCCTGGGTACCCAGGATCAGGGCACAGATCTTCCAATAGCCAAGCAAAGCAATAATGTGACCCACTCGTTCTTGTGAAATGCCGATTATGCTTGAAATTTGAGTGATACGACGATTATCCTGAATCAATCTGTCAACCTTTGGCTTGTGAAACCCGGTGGTTGCTGTCACAGGACGTCCAACTCTTTGTCATGCAAGTCAGACGTCCCCACCTCAACATCTTAAAACTAACTCACCCAATGACACACAGCACTCACATCATCACCATAAACTGCTTGCATTCTCTGATGAATCTCCTTTGGGGTGACACCTTCTGTTGTCAAGAATTCAATGACTGCACATTGCTTAAGTCGCATTGACCGACCGTCTACGCAAGGTTCCATACTTGGCACTTTAACAGCACAACCGCTCAATGTTAAGGCTTCCCGCCAAAAATGGAACTGTAGAGGAGAGTTTACTGAAAAAGCCAGTACCTGACACATATGTAGCTTAAGTCGCATTGACCGACCGTCTACGCAAAGTTCCATACTTTTCACTTTAACAACACAGCCATTCAATGCTAAGGCTATCCAATGCTAATCAAGCTGGCCAATTGCAACATTCACATTTGCCTCCAACAGACAAGCATTCTTTCTCCCATTCCACAGATATATAAACCTCACTTGCCCAGTTTCCAACCGACCTCACAACCTCTGCCATTATATTGTATTACAGTATAATACTATTATCAATGTTATATGTATATAGAATATATTATATTGTTAGCACAGCAATAATATATAAATCCCACTTGCCTAGTTTCCAACCGACCTCACAACCTCTGCCATTATATTGTATTACAGTATAATACTATTATCAATGTTATATGTATATAGAATATATTAAATTGTTAGCACAGCAATAATATATAAATCCCACTTGCCTAGTTTCCAACAGACCTCACAACCTCTGAGGATGCCTGCCATAGATGTGGGCAAAACGTCAGGAGAGAATGCTTCGTGAACATGGCCAGACAGGCTGGAAAACTCAGAGCAACCCAATGATTCCAGCCATGAAAGCTTTCAACAGCAAATGCAGACCAAAGGGAGCACTATACATACACCTTCCAACAAATGACCCCCTCCCCCTGGCTGGACACAGCCAGGCTTTGAAGCTGCAAGGCTATTCAATGCTAATCAAGCTGGCCAATTGCAACATTCACATTTGCCTCCAACAGACAAGCATTCTATCTCCCATTCCACAGATATATAAACCTCACAACCTCTGAGGATGCCTGCCATAGATGTGGGCAAAAGGTCAGGAGAGAATGCTTCCGGACACTGCCAGACAGCCTGGAATAATAATAATAATAATAATAATAATAATAATAATAATGACATTTATATCCCGCCCTTTTCACTCCAAAGGGGACTCAGCTTACAAGTTATATGTACATACAATATAGTATATTATTGGCATAGCACAATATTAGTATTATATATTTCTCGATTGTATTATACCATTATACTGCAATATTATTAGTAATATTACATGTAACATAAAATATATATTTCTTATATTGTATGATCATATAATATAACTATTATATCGCATGATTATTAATCGCGCTTTCATGCACTCATGCAGGCCACATGACCTTGGAGTTGTCTATGGACAATGCCGGCTCTTTGGCTTAGAAATGGAGATGAACACCACACCCCAGTGTCGGACACGACTGGACTTAATGTCAGGGGAAAACCTTTACCTTATGATTATTAGTATTATATCATATTACATTATAATATTATATGTGTATACAATATATCATATTATTAGCACAGCACAGCAACCTAGTGATTCCAGCCATGAAAATCTGTGACAACACAAAGAGTTCGACAACACATTTTCCAGATAGAGTGTCTCCTTCTCTGAAGGGCTTTAAACAGAGGCTTGAGTGGCCATCTATCGGGAGGGCTTTGATTGTGTCATCCCGCACGGCATGCGATTGGACTGGATGGCCCCGGGAGCCTCTTCCAGCTCTAGGATGCAAAGCACTACACGACGGTTATCTCTCCAAAATGGCCTTCTCCTCTGGTCCCTATCCTTCTGCGTCCAAGTGCCGCCGCTCCCTCCTCCGGGGCCATCAATCTCTACCTGGGCCTCGCCAGGTTCGGCCCCTCTCTGCTGCAAAAGAGAGATTGGGTGGGAGGAGGAGAGGCAGGAATGATGGACGGAGAGGGATAAGGGTGAGGACAGGCTCATCCGTCTCCCGGCCACCCAGCCCTCCGCCGCCGGCTCAGCCATCCATCATTCTGCATCTGCGTTTTTCGGCACGCCCCGAGGCTCCTTGGACGCAAACTCTCATCAGCTACCCTAAGAGAGTCTCCCCACCATCAACAACAGAGAGCTCAGGGGAGAAAACAGGCACCGAGTTACAATTACAGAGGGGAACAGTTCCATCTTGTCTCCTGCATATGTCATCAGTTGGGGACCCTTCCCCCCAGCATCAACTGCCACTCTGGGCCAGAGTGAAGAGAGAGGGGGCCAGGGGACAGTTCCACATTGTCTCCTGCATATGTCATCAGTTGGGGACCCCTCCCCCAGCACCAACTGCTGCTCTGGACCAGAGTGAAGTGAGAGTGGGCCAGGGGACAGTTCCATCTTGTCTCCTGCATATGTCATCAGTTGGGGACCTCCTCCCCCAGCACCAACTGCCACTCTGGGCCAGAGTGAAGAGAAAGGGGTCCAGGGGACAGCTCCATCTTGTCTCATGCATATGTCATCAGTTGGGGACCCCTCCTCCCAGCACCAACTGCCGCTCTGGGCCAGAGTGAAGAGAGAGGGGGCCAGGGGACAGTTCCACCTTGTCTCCTGCATATTTCATCAGCTGGGAACCCCTCCCCCAGCACCAAATGCCGCTCTAGGCCAGAGTTAGGAGAGAGGGGGCCAGGGGACAGTTCCACCTTGTCTCCTGCATATTTCATCAGCTGGGGACCCCTCCCCCAGCACCAACTGCTGCTCTGGGCCAGAGTGAAGAGAGGGGGGGGCAGGGGACAGTTCCATCTAGTCTCCTGCATATGTCATCTTGGGGACCCCTCTCCCCCTGCACTAACTGCCACTCTGGGCCAGAATGAAGAGAGAGGAGGCCATGGCAATGGAGCGATGGTCAGCTCCTCCACCCCGTCACCTTCATCCCGTCCCTGACAAAAAACCAAGTCCAATGTGTGCCCGGCACTATGGGTGGGACCAGATACTAATTGGGACAGGCCCATGGTTGCCATGGCGGCCATGAAGTCCTGAGCCGCACCTGAAGGAGGGGGGGGGGCTTGGCATGAACATTGAAATCTCCCAGGACTAAAAGCCGTTGAGAATTCAAAGCCAAGTCCGAGACCATTCCTGCTAGCTCAGATAGGGAGACTGTAGTGCAGCGGGGTGGTCGGTACACTAACAGAATCCCTATCCTGTAGGCCTGGGTAACAACGGAAAAATTTGTTTCTAAAATCGATTTGTATTTGGGGGGTTTTTTGTTTCGATATTTAAAATAATTACAAAATTTTCCTTTTAAAAAGTTCGATATTTACGAAATTTCGTAAATGGTAAAAAATTAACGAATCGATTTCCGAAACAATAACGAATCGATTCGTTAATGGCGGACGCGACCGCGAAATACGCTAAAAAACCTCCAAAACCTTCTGACGCTTCCCTCTCCCTCTGTTGTTGACTGTTGGTGTGATATTATATTTTTTTTCACTAATTAAACCATAAAACTGGCCCAGACATGCGGAAATAATAACGAAACGACCTCAAAACAATAACGAAACGAATACAATATCGAAATACGAAGCATTTACAAAACGTTTTTGAAAATTCGTTTTTTTTAATAATTGCTCCAGAATGGTTACTTATCGTTTTGTAATTGAAAAAATTAACGAATTATTAACAAATTACGAATTGACGAAACGAAACTGCCCAGCCCTACTATCCTGTCCCGGTCACCAATCCTAATGCCGATACACTCCAAGGAAGATGATTGTGGGATGGGGCACCTGATCAGGGGGATAAAATCCTTATAGACCACTGCAACTCCACCCCCCGCCCTCCAGGTCTTGATTGGTGCTGCACAGAATAACCTGGCGGACAGAGTTGGGAGAGGTTCACCCCTCCCCCTTCGTCCAGCCAGGTCTCTGTAATACAAGCCAGGTAAGTAAGTAAGTATGCTAATAATATAATATATTGTATGTATATATATCTTGTAAGCTGCTCTGAGTCCCCTTCAGGGTGA